ACTGAACCTTCATATTCGTGATATAGTCGAATTATACATAAAGCAAATAGCACGCGTATTTTCACCAATGAATGTTTTTGGTTCTGAAAATTAAATGAGAAATTTATAACGTGGTGTCGAGTCGAGATTGACTATGTACACCGCTACCAAGAAACGCGTGCCAAATGACTCCAAAAGCGAAATATCAAAAGGCAGTTAATGGACCAGGTCGAGATATTTTTGCTGGCGATCTCGTGGTATCGAATGGATACCGAGATCGTGCCAGGATACGAGCTTAGTTACAGAACGTAACCGAATTCGCGCGAAGTCACAATCAAAATGTGTGTATGATAAACAAAAGCACATTAAAACAGTCACTGGTACAATTGGTTATAATAATAATTGTTTTCAATAAACCAGTCGTGTTCTCGTGATAAATGTGAGTCGCTACATATTTTTAGTACACACAAACGGGAATATGGAAATTCAGTAATTTTTTTATTCTCACATGTGAATCAGATGTATCTTTTCATCTAGCCACCCATTTTCTTCATCATTACGATGAACCTGGAACACTCTTATTTCTATGCACTTCAGAGAAGTACACGAAGGAAGACAGAATGTTCAAAGATCACAATCAACTTACTAATTGACCATCAAGTTCCATAATTAAGCACTGACACTCGAAACTCTTTATCTAAACACGCGTCACTTGTCTCTCCTGCATGTATATTGTTATAATTTATCATATTAGGAAATAACTACATTTACTGCCTAGTATTCTTCGGTCAACTAGTCCCCAAAAAAGAACACGGCTGGATAAGAACGTAAATACATTCCAGATAAAAAAGGCTGGATGAAAGTAAGAACCAAAACACGAAGAATGTCAGCACATCCATTATTTATTGGAGATTTTAAAGCATTTGCCAACTATCTGAAGGCGCTGATTGACTAGAAATTGACCAATTAGAGTACTCAAAAACCATCCTTCAAGGAACACGATTTGATCTAATATAGATGCATATCCCGCCAACAGATATAACAAGAAATGAGTGAGTTGAACGAGAAACCTAGTACTGATGAAACCAACAAAATCCATTCGGTCTCTTGCCCTTATCAACTGAAGTTGTTTGGGTTGCTCATTTCACCTTGCAGGGTTTCTTATCTGCTCAAATAAGGGAAAGGATCTGAAAGTTCATACACAAGTGCACATAGTCACACGCTCAACAGGGTCTTGGTTACAAAAAATAAGAATTTATGAATGAAAGACATAGCAATAATAGTTTAGTATGAAACAAGATCACATGGAGTGTCGCCTCTAAGAAAAAGCATAGCGATGGAACTACTCCCGACTATTTGTCACCAGACGGCATTTAAATATACGTCGTTCGGAATTAACACGAGGTAGAGAATTGAGTTAATTATACGACCCATATCATGGATATCTCAGAAAGAGGCAGAAGACAGAGAAGTCACAATATGTACGGACATATAAGCCTACTATTGTTTAAAACGGTGAATACAAGAACAATTTCATGTGTGTGGTCGTGGAAAAAATACGATGTTTTATTCAGATTCCTAAATATTGTCAATGTTTTCTGCTACTACATTATTTGCGAGATTGGATATTGAAAAACTAGTTGTTCTGTACCATCTGAATCTGAATCCGATGTGCCTTTGTTTTTCGCGGCAGTAAGCGCGCACTGTTTGCACTCGTGACTCTTGTCTTCATTGTAATTACAGTTCAAGTTATTATTGGTTTTCCGTGATATTCTTTATTGATTTGGCTTCATTCGTTATTTTTATTAAAAAGGACCATAGCAGTTTTTAGATTTTATTATTCAAGTGGCTTGTAGTGTTTGTAGTGTAACTAGCCGTTCATGTCCTTTCGAGGCTTTTCATCTCTTACTCAGATGGAGTGCCTCCAAATAGACTAGAGAACGGTTGTGGGACATCTGTTTCTTTCTTTAGTTTTGGCTTTATATATAGCTACTAATTCTGTCAATTCTCCAGGTAAGTCCTTGGTCAAATACCTGTTCGTTCATGTCATTCATCACAATGACTTCGTTTTAAATGAATAAACAGTCTTTTGTAAATAGTAGCTGCTTGAATCCCAGAGTGTGTAGCTGACATCCTAACTGTGAAAAGTCCGCATTTGCCTTACAGTGTTGTTTAGTCCGGCAATACTCCTTAAGTTCCATAACTATACCGTTTTTATTGTCAGGATCACCTCGAATGTAAGCAAGACAGAAACATGTCAAGTTGGGATTATTTATTTGAGCCAAAACATAGACATGTGCTATTTAGCATTAAAACGCTCGTGCTGATGTGAGAATGGAACAATTCGCAAACTTTCATGTGTCATGCACGGTTGGTTGCTTGGCCTCGTTATTGTGTCAAACTGGAGTTTAAGGTAATACAAGCCTCGAAAATGATGCAAAGATACGTAAACACAAGTATTGAGAAGTTCTGCATGTGCTTTACATCGTCTAAATTAAAGATGGTTCTTCAAGAAGAGTCCCAGACACCTATTCCGAGAATAAAAAGTTGCGTTCAGTTACATATACATGTACATGTAAGGTACCGTATCATTTCTACTGAACGTTTTGCCAACAACATCGACACGATTACCAAAAGTTTGCCTAATATTATGATCGAGTATACTTGAAAGTTACATGGTCTCTACTTCCAATCAATTCTTGAAAATAATGCTCATGCCCAAGTTAAAGAAGTGGAATTAATAATCTGTTATAATGATAAATCTTGGCGTAATCACTCGTTAGAATGAAAACTCAGTCGGATTTGTTGACCACCGATATAAATGCCTGAATTATGTTAATGATCTTTAGTTGCTACCCACTTCAACAATTGAATTCTATGGTTTATCTGTTTTAGTAATTAGTTCTAGTGTTTAACATTCCGAATAAATATAAATGATCAAGTAATTTAACTTCAAGATCCTAACACCTAAGACATCCTCCAAGGCCATAGGTTCTCATTCTCCCGAGCTTGGGCAATTAGTGAAAGAAACGTATAAACTACTCTAAAACATTTTTTTCGAAACCTGTGCAGCACTGATTTGATTTTACTCGTTATCATGTCTTGCAAGTTCAAGGATTAGATAACAGGGATTTACTAAAAATATTGTCAACTTTATTATATCTAAACATAAGCTAAATCTGTTGACTCTTAGAGAGACGGCTACCTGTCAAATGGAAACTCGATATATGTTTCAGGCTTGACGGTTTCGGTACCTGGTAGCCAACTATTGGCCCATGAGTTCATAGCCATTACATCTGATTCGGTGTGGCTAATCAGATAGTATCTTAAATATTTACTCAGTATGTGTGGCCTAAATATTACCATTCAGATGTGTACTTGGACATTGAGTCTTGCTTATTATTATTGGTTTTATTCTATATTATATTTTTGCTGCAATATAGAATTCTCAGCACAAAGTATTTTAGCGAGTTTTTGTTTCTTATTTCTTGGTCGATATTGACGGTAAATATTGAGTAGTCGCCTCTTAGATGTTAGCATTTCAGAAACCGACATCTGAATGATGTCCATTCTTTTCAATCCATATTACGAGCATTCACGATGTCTTCGATTGTACCGAGAGAGGTCGTAAACTTTTCACAAACGCACCTGAATGGGAAACAACGAACCAGAACAATATGAAGTATGCAGTAATAAAAGTGCTCAACATTTTGGGAAATATAGTTTGAACAAACTGCACCACTGTAATAAATTATAAGTCATATCTCCGACCGTAGTTAACTTCTTAAACTTACGCCACATCTCGTTTCGGCCACACTTAGTTTTGTAATTCATGACTTTTTAACCCACCATCACGCATTAAAGTACACCGGGGTTGATCATATCTAACACCTTAGTCGATAAACATTTACGACCTCATCAACTGACCTGCCTATTACTCTATCCCTAACTTCAACAGTGCTCACTCTGCTGTTCCAGAGTACGCGAGTAGCACTTCAGAGATACCTACTCCCTGTCTTTATGTTTCTTATTTTCATAAGCCATGTTTCACAGCCACAGCAATCTGTTGGATAGCATCCTTACTCACTGGTTTGTAGACAGGCATTTGACCGTCGCCACAAGTGATACAAGTTAGCTAAAACCAAATAAGTTTCTTGAATCCATTATATTTATTTTTTTTATTTCAACACATAGATAATGGTACAAAGAGGCACCAAATACATATGCGCCACACAAATCTCATCCGATATGTGTGAGGGCTGTGATACTGCCCGGGTGCCCAAACCGAAGCAGGTGGTTTTCTTAGGGGGCCACACCCCGAGCCTTCGACCCAAAGGTCTGATCCACAAGGCAGTGGAGCATCGTAAGGAGATGCAGTCCCATGGAAGCCGGTGACCAACAATTGGTTCATTCGCCATTTGTTCCCGCAGGATACTGGAGCCCATGTGCACCATTGGTTTGGAATCCGGTTAAAGCGCCGGACATTCGCTTTTCGTCCTCTCATTTTCGTAAACAACACCCCCGCCACGAGAAGGCAGTGAGTAGGACTTCCCTGGCAGAGGCTATATACGCGTGGCCGTGTGAGAGTATTTCGAGAGGGAGAGCGGACTCTCCCCACTCTCGGCCGTACCAGGGCATTTGGGGGCCTTATCAGTCATTAATCCCAGCCTACCATAGCTGATGAAACTTAAATGATATATAAAATGACTAAGGCGCTCAATTACCTTACCCTTAGGGTCATCCTAGACGTTGATACAGACTGGTTCTAAGGCAACATTTTTCATTCAAGGAGAATGAAATACATATTCACTATGTTTGTGTTGCTACTCAAAGTGTTTGGAGAACTGTTTCGTCAGTCATCAAACAGGACTATATCGTCTGTGTGTTCTAACCTCTCCAAAGTCTGATGATTGTGAAGTCAAGTAACTTTATCACTATACAATACGCCAGAATATAAATTATTGATTCTATTTCAAAATACCATGCACCTTAATAACTATTATTTAATTGACACATTATAGATGATGGATCATGTGATGAATTATACCTCAAAAAGTCCTGAAAAGTCCAGTCCGAGTTTTCCAGAGGATGTAGAAGATGATGATGAAGATCCAATGGATTTGGAGCCATTAAAATATTCTTCTCTTCGTCAACATGTAAACAACAATAACAACATTAATAGTGAAAATAATCGCAATAATAATACAATCAACCATTGTGATGATGATGTTGACGAACAACTCGATGTGACAATGTTACCACCGGAGGATGAAGACGACGATATCGGTGGAGCAACTCGTGGATTCATGTTAAATGTTGATAGCCCACGTCATCCAACTGATTCAACTGAAAAGAAAGTACATTGGTCAAATCAAAATGTTCAAACATTGTTAGATTGTGTAGAAAAACATTTGGATGAATTTAATATACAAAAAAAGCATAAACAAGTTTGGCAAATTATTGGCACAGAAATGGAATCATTAGGTTTTACCATGGAACATTGTTACAATAAATGGAAGAATTTACGTCGTGATGTTCGTTTATTGGTGAATAATCCACAAAAAGCTGTTCGTAACGCCGATATTTTACGACGTGTGGCTCGTTTAATTTTAGTAATCTATCCAAATATTGATGCTACAACTATGCAAGTAACCGGTGATCGTATCAGTACAAGTAAATCTACACCGAATACACCAGGTGGTCCTGGTAGTTTGTCATCAGCCCGACTTACATTATCCTCATCATTACATGCTCCAGATTCACCATTATACTTTGGTCTATCTAGAACGCGTACACCACATTCCTTAACACCGAATTTTCACTCATTAAATGGTACAAAATATAAAACTGAACAGTCCAATTATGATACAACAACTAATACTCCCACTACTTCTGTACCTGGTACTGCATTGTTCACCAGTAATTCACGTTGTTCAGACAATGACAAAAAACACCATGTATCATCCACGCCTAATTCAACAAATCATGACAATAATACAACAATTTCACAACATGCTAATTCTGGATTTCCATTCATTTTTAATCCCGCAGCAGCAGCTCTTCTAGTTCAGTCACAGCTATTCAACGATTTACTACGTCAACAACAAACACAATTACAAGATGATTCTATACCTTTGGATAGTATACAACAACGTGAACAATTCTTTGCTCTTACTGCCTCTCTAAAAAATGCTTTGCATTCTACTAATAGTCCAAATACCACAAATGGTGGTAATGCTGCACTTACGCAGCATACTACTAATACAAATAATAATGGTATTAATAATGCCAATAAGAGTATAATCACAAATGGTAATGATTTTAATACAGACAATAACAACAACAACGCTAATAATTCATTGCACGTTGCCAATTTAGCTTCTAATTTGTTGAATGGTTTAAACGGCATGGATACATCACAATATCTAAATTTATTGGCATCTGAAGCAGGTTTACTGAATGGTAATACGACTAGTCATCTTAATAATTATAATAATACTAGTCATCCTCATCATCAACACCAGCCACAACAACAGTCATACACTTCTATATCCGATCGATTACCGCCTGGTAGTGAGTTGGCTGGTGTTGTCCAGCGTTTACTCAATGAAGAGACTATTCATTTACGCTTGACCGATATGGTTACACATTTAGCTGACGAATTACGGGCAGCCGGTCTACGTAGACGTGCCACATTAGATCAACTATTAGAAATTATGCAAGGTGGGGGCGGCGGTACCACCTCTGGATGTGTATCGGCAGTCGGAACAAATACATCCATGAGTCTTACTCATAAAAATTCAGATACTACGCATCGTGTTTAGTGAGTAATTATAAAACCGACGGTGGAATATTTATATGGGATTTAATTGTTTTTGTGTATCTCGTAAAAGAAACAACTATCAACAAGGTCCGATGAATCAATAGAGTAATACTGATGTCTATGGATATATTATATGTAAAAATGAGGAATCAAACCGGTAAATTCCAGTTTTTTTAAACTAAAAACCTTTTTTTTGTTGTAAACTTTTATATGTTAAGAAAGAAATTTTCTTGTCGACCTGTGACGATTATAATCGCAGTGTTTATGTAGGGCAAAACAATATATAGAAAGCATTTTGTGTAAAATCGACGGAAGATTACTGTTACTACTTCCATATCATCGAGTGTTTATTGATTCTATGTTTCCTTCTTCTCTTTCTCTCTATTTAAAAATCTCGATGTGCATTCTAATCACACAAATTCCATTGTTTTGTTTTTTACCTATTTTTCCCTGGTAATGTAGTAACATTGAATATTACTGCCACTTTACTAATAAGTAGAAAGGAGCAGTGAATTGTGTATCAAAGGATATCTCATTTTGTTAATTGTGTTTTCCTTTTTTTTAAATTTTCTACAAAGATACAACCATTTTTTCCACCGGTTCTTTTACAATTTTTTTACGTAATGCATTTTATTTGTATGTTGTGAGGTGTTTTCTACGCGCGCGCGCACACGCACTCACGCCGAAAAGTAAAACTCACATTTCATATTAATATGGAGCATTTATTAATTCATTTTGAACAGCGCCGGGCTTTTTTTGTATGAAAATCATCATCTTGAATCATCAATATTTTTTAAAAAAGAAAACCTCGTCTGCATCATACTTCTCTTCCTGTTCCTTCTCCTTCTCATTGTCATCATCATCATCGTTGTCATTCGAGTCATTAATTTGTTCATTCATGAAGTTTCATAATTCCGAATGTATTTCTATTTCCATATTACATTTTACATTAAATTTGTCCAACTAATCTATATGTTAAGGGTTGTTCACATATGAATCCATCTTCCTCTATTCAAAAAAGCAGCAGCTCTATTAAGTGTGGTTGTTTTTGTGTGTCCTTTTCTAAAATATTATTCTCAGCTTTTTTTGTCAGTAACCGACTGGTTTAAAAAAGAAACTTTCGAGTTTGTCTCTTTTTTTTGTAATCAAATCTAAAAGTATGGCTGTGGTTTCAATAGTTCCTTTTTTTCTACGATTATTATTTCTATATTATTCTTTTTAAGAATGGTACATTCGGCTTATTCAAGGGTTTTTTTTGCTTTTTTTTTGATAGGTAGACATTAATGTTTTGTTTTTGTATGTATTCAGTGTCATCTATCATTAATAAAAATAAACAACAACATTTTAACACTTGTCAACCTTGCACTTCATTTGTTCTATAACCAACCCCCCCCCGTGTTGAAGTATATGTATGTTGTTTCAAAACAATAATATTTTTGATATCTATATCCATATATACGTATATTTAACTGGTCAAATCTGGTTTACATTTTGTTACTACTACTACTATTACAGTCAATATATACTACTATTTATTATCATATTAACTGTTCTTCATGACTTTTTCCTTCTTCAAATCAATGGGATTATCTTAGATCTCATTTTTTTGTGTTTTGTAAACTTTTTTTTGAATGAAGAATGGAAATTTTGTCATGTATCATTGACTTTTTTCTTTCTCATATACATCTTAAGTGTAGTGATGATTAGTTGTTGCCTACATGGAGACATTAAATGATGAAACTTTGGGGTTTTTTGTATTATTATTATTATTATTATTATTATTACTATTATTATTATTGTATTAACTCTGCAGCATATCTAACAATTCTAATCCGGTGTTTGTTTATCTATGAAAATTCTTCTACACAATGAATATATGCATACCAAAATTGAATCTGTTTTTCTCTTTCTTTCATTATGTGCAAAAAATCATCACTTCAATTATGATTCATTGTATGGACGAACTTCTTTATCATTTATATATGTAGATGAACATGTATCTTTCTCTCTCTCTCTTGATATGTGCATTTTTTTTCTTTCCTAAAAATAAAACCTGTTTACTTTCGAATAGTTTCGCCTTGTAGTTTTGTTTTTACTTTTAAAATTAGGTTCCTCTTTATTCTAATTTCAAAGAAGCATATTTCGTTTCAATACATTCTCGGTTATTACCTTACTTTTGTTATAAACATCAATATTGTTATCATTATTGTATTTTCAGTATTTCTTTATTCATTTCTATAAACAAATTCACTTAAATACGTTCCATTTTGAAGAAGAATAAGAAAAAAGAACTTATTTTTAATACTCTACTATATTGTGGTAGACTGTCCTAGTTTATGATTACACACAGGATGCTCTATTTTTTTGACATGCTTTTAGTCCTTACCCTCATTCCCACCACCCCGTCATCATCGTTTAGGAATAAGGAGATCTATTGTCGCTATTTTTTTCTCGTTCTAAACTCTACTACTTTTTTTGGGACAAAAAACACACATTTTTGATCTTATTTTTCACAATTCTCATTATTCCATCAAGTTGTTGTTGTTGTTGTTTTTATTTAAAGGAAGACTTCATTCGTAAAAAGATAAAGATAGCCTTCATTGAATTAATCCATTAATATCATAACACTTATGCAACAGACAAATATATTTTTGCAAAAACATAAATTTTTTAAAATCTAAATGATGAACTATTGTAGTCTATTTATCAGAATAATTGGATTCATCTAATTCGACAGAGTACAATCAACTAGTATGTATGTGGTTAAATTGAATGCCATGTCGTTGTTGTTGTTGTTGCTTTACACGTTACAATAACAAAAGTTAAACAATCTATTCTTTTATTTTTCACCGATCATTACAAAAATCGCAAAATCTCGTCTTTTCCTTTCTTTTTTTATGTATCACAAAAAGGAAACAATTACCCTTTGATTCAAGTGAAGTGACTATTTTTTTTCACATCATCGATGTATTTCACTCTTATATTTCCCTGTTATGTTAGTATATATATGTCTTTTTTTATATATTATACCTATTCCATATATCTTGGCTGTTTGCATTTCTCATATTCCTTTTGTTTTCAGATCTGTTTTAAAGGTGGCAGGTGTAGGTGAATATGTTGTACACGGGGGTTTCTTTTTTGTTTATCGTACATACATATGTATATTATATAGTTGTAATTTTTTGTGCACTTTTCCACATGAATGTTTGCTATTGTTAATATCAGTGGTATCAGTAGTACTAGTAGCAGTAGTAGTACTAATCGTAACTAGTTGTACAACTTACTACTAATATGAATTTTAAATGAATTATTTTTATTTTTGCCATGTACATAATTTCTATTGCATTCACATATAATTAGTGTAATTTCTGTAAACTCTTTATTTTTCAAAGTTAAAATGGGTTGTGGATAGATCAATGTATCCAGGATGAGGCAATTATTCAAGGAAATCATTCAAGTTTTGGGGATTCGAATCAGTCTCCATCTTCGTGACTGTTTTAATGAGCCAATCGAGCTATATTTTCTGCAATATTTATTCGTTTAAGTGGTGTCATTTCAGCCAGTTAGTTGGAGAGTGGTGAACGTGAAAGTAGTAATTTGAGGTCCGATAGCAAAACCATACTACTGACTATACATGGGTTGAGATGGCAGTAAAATGTTTCCTTCAGACAAATAGTCTTCAGCGTTGTTGACTTCCCTCAACCGAAAGAAAATGTTAGAAAAGATCGACCCTAAATAATACTATTTTGGTCCACATATTCCGATTGACAGAGGTAAGGTTTCAAAGCTACCCAAGTGTGATCGAGTATTTTCACTTCTCTCTGCGGTCTTGATCCTAGATTGTCAAGATCATTCGAACCCTATCTTTCACAGGTCTTTCATATATATAACGTTGCTCAAGACCACCTGTAGTTTAAGAAATCAGGTAGTTTCACTGAAGTGTAACTCAAAACCTTTACCAGTTGCAATGAGCCTCATTAATAAAAAAGTGACAAGTAGCTATCGTCGAAGTAAACCTACTAATTTTTTCTACTGGTCATTGTTGACCGGATTTTAATGAACTAAGCCTTTAATATGAACAAAAATCATGATGATTGGACAGTCAAAGCTACAGATCCTGGTCTTTTTGTTCCTGATTGTCGACATAACGTGTGTTTTCCATGATACTAGTGATTCTTTAGACACTAGTCGCAGTCTTACTCAACTTTGCAATTAAGAACTGCGTCACTGAACTGTAAGAACTACTCTATGAGAGCACGACTTATTGAATGAAACTTTACTGAAATTTAGTGACCAAGTATTTATTCATCCAACCATTATGAATAAAGGCTTTTGGCCAACTATTTGTAATTATTTAATGTCTGGATAGTTAATGTTCGTACACATCACAAGTGCAGATCAGTTGAATGTAACCTATTTGGTCTGGAACATGTTGCAAAGTTCCAAACATGATCAGCGTAGACCATAAAATACTGTTAAGTATAACTAATAGTAATCCATAGCGAACTACTTGTGTTTGGGATCATTGTATCTATTAGGCTTTTGTATAAACTCACTAAACAATAATATAATAGTAGGCGATCTTAGTGTATTCACATATCTGTTGTACCAACACTATGAACTTCAGAAATATGCAACTCGTATTGTTTCTTTAGAAATTTAAAATTCTTATAAAATTTAGCTCGTTCTCTAAGTAGTCTTGTGCTACAATGGTCTAGATGACTACTTAGCAGTAGTTAACAGGTCCATTTCGATTATGGCGACATAGTTACCACGAGGTTTGAGTTATCCGTTCTATGAGTGTTTTAGGGAATCTACTAAAACCAACTGATTAATACCCGATCGTTTCCACCTTGACGTGGTGGTCGGGCTTGCCTATCGTGATGAAGCAGCCGAGCTATACTGGCTAGAACAACCGTTCCTCAAGGTCCTACCATGTCAGACAGGTCGGTTGAAGTGCGGTAAGACTAAAAGCAACAAACCCAAGGTTCGAAGGTGAAG